AGATGTGAATGATTCATGTGAGTCTATAATTATTGTCAATAATTGATGTCACTTCCTGTAATTATCAGTCATTGGGCAAATTAAAATTGATATCTAATTAATGTTTTATTAATTAAAGGTTAATTATTTAATTGACATTTACAATTAAAAGAAATACAATGTTAAAATCATTACGCAATAAATAGTTATTAAAAACAGGGACTTGCCCCAAAAAAATTACATATGTTTAGGTGTCCTATGACACCATCTTCAGGAGTAACGGTTAAGGCATGGTTGGGACTTATATACCCACATAATCATGAATAATGCCATTTAGGCTTGAACTACCCAGAGTTACAAAACATCTGTTCAGTATGTTATGATTTCTAGACCTGGACCAGCTTCCTTGTTTAATAGGATATCTTTGTTTTGTTTTTTTCAATTTCAAGCATAAACTGAGAATTGTATTAGCTAACTTACATAGCTATTTAACTAGATCATTTAATAAAGAAAACAAGTAAACTTGTATATCGCTTAAGAACCTGTTCATAATCTTCTGTCACAAACCGAGAAGACATAGCAGTATATACATAAAAAATACTCCACTATTCCTCTCAGGGCACGTGTTACCCACATGCCTGTTGGTCATTCCCATCAAAAAATAAAATGGATTGTAAACTCAAGATATTATGTGACCTGCCATTGGGAGAAAAATCAAACCCTACTTCTAAATAGCATGTTCCATTCTACAGAAGTGTTTCCTATGAGAAGGTTCACAGGCTACCCAGTTTAATAGGTAACTTACTTGAACAACATTCTGTATTTAAGAAAATTACAACAAATTTTATTTTAAATAAGGGGGTTGAAATTACAGAGTTTGCCTGCATATTACAACTTTTCACTCTCATTTACGTTCAAACTGTCCCAGTCATACATCAGTCAAGAAAGCAAAGTTACTTACTTCTTCCCCTGTAAAATAGTTGCACATTATGATAAATGAATAAAATTGGGAATACAATGTTAAAAAACAATAGATTAGAAATTAAAATCATAACTTAAAAAACAATGTAGTATAATTGAATACCAAAAATAAAAACCACCAGATCACAGAAGAGTTGGCATCCGTTTGCAGCATGCACGGAACAACAACTGGAGAAGACATTTTCATGGAAGTACAGAAAACTTTGCAAGGCTATAACCTTCAGTGGAATCAGCTTCGATGTGTTACAGTTGATAGAGGAAAAAACATGGCTGGAGTGAGGAAGGGTCTGGTGGGGCAGATACGAACTAAGTCGGAAGATCTTCAACTTCCGGGCCCTCTGTTTATACACTGCATTATACATCAGCAAACACTCTGTGGGAAAGACTTAGATATTTCTTGCGTACTGAAACCAGTCGTTTTTGCAGTGAACTTCATTCGGGGTCATGCACTTAATCACCGCCAGTTCCAGGCTTTTCTTGAAGAAATTGATTCTGAATTCTGTGACATGCCTTATCACTCAGCTGCTGTAAAGTCCTGTTTCGTTTTTATAAACTCCGAAGAGAAATGGATATTTTTCTCACCGAAAAGGATAGAGCTGATCCACTTCTGTCAGATCCTACCA